TCCTCCCTCCTCTCCTCTCTCTCCTCAGCAATCCTCTTCCTTCATCGTCATCCTCCCTCTCCTTCTACTTCTCCCTCCCGCCTCCCCGTATTCGTGCTCTTCCCCCTGCTGCGCATCCTGCACCCTCGCCCTCCTCCTCTTCCTCCTCCTCTTGATCTTCATGCTCATCACCATCACCACCACCACCACCATCACCATCATCATCATCAGCATCATCATCATCAGCAGCATCATCAACAACAATATCAACACCAACACCATCAAAAACACCACCAACATCAACAGTACACTTCCTCATCCTCCTCATCCCCATCCCTTCCTCATTCTCTTCGTCATCCTCATCATCCTCATCCTCATCCTCCTCAATTTCCTCTACTTCCTTCTCCTCTATCCTCCTACTCCCTACTCCTCCCTGCGACATCCCCATCCTCTCCCTCCTCCGAGCTCTATCGCGATCCCGAAGCCCTCCTCCTCCTCACCTCTCTCTCTTCCTCCTCATCCTCTCCTCCCTCCTCCTCCTCCTCCAGCTCCTCCCTCCCCCTTTCTTTCCGCATCCCACCTTCTACCCCTCCTCCTCAGCCCCCCTCTCCCTGGCCCCTTGCCCCTTCCGCAAATCCCTTGTCCACCGCCTCCTCTATTTCCCCTCTCCTACTTTCTCCTTCCAGCAACCTCGGGAAGGTCGTGCTGGACCGAGCCAGACCACGGAGTGACGAACAACAGGCCGAAGAGCAAAAGGGCCAGGATCGTGTCCACGGCCTCCACCAGCATTGTGTACACCTCTGCGACAGAATCTCGACCGATCGGGAAGAAAGACGACGATGCCAAGCAGGAAGAGCTGGAGCACGATGATGAGGAGGAGGAGAAGGAGGCGGAGCAGGATGTGCTGGAGAAGAACGGCACCAGCAGGAGCACCAGGATGTCCGGCAGCTTGGGATCTGACGCAGACAGATTGCGTCGAAGGCCCTGGTCGTGATTTTGCCCGCGACGTCAAACGTTGATCCCGACGTCAGGCCTCGGGATGACGGGAAGCCCGATACACGCGGCGTGGCTAGCATGGGCAGCCGCCTCACCGAGGGCCGGAGATGCCATCAGTATACCAGAACCAAGGAGCGTGCTATGCAAAAGGGTACGCTATGATGGCATACCCCTGCCCCGAGCCACCGCTCGAGCAGATCCTCTCGATGGTGGATGTCGAGGTCAGGTGCCGCAAATGCCCCGCAATGGCGGTGCACGTGAGGGCGTCGGTGGCGCCGCCTCTGCTGTGGAACTGCGTGGCGGACTGCCCGCAGACCTGATTGTGATTGTCCGTGTGCTGGGCGATCGCCCCGACCATCTCTGGGCAGGCTTGCACGAGGTGGATTCTTGATCGCGCGCATGGCACCCTGCCCCCAGACGCAGTGGAGCCACTCGGGCAGCAACCTGGGGCTCCCGTCGGGGATGGGGACGCAACTCTCGGGGTGCTTGACTGCCTCGCTGCCCTCGGAGCCCTCAGAGGACGCCTTGCGAGTCGCGCGAGGTGTGAAGTGATTCGCCGCTGTTTAGATGGTCCGCCGCGACGTGGACAAGGGGCTGCTTGTAAAGCGCGGTGTGTTCCTCGTGAGCCACGTCCGAAGGTTCCCGCCTCCACACAGGCGGAATATCATTCTCGCATTCTCGGGGATGAAGAAGCCGTCAGACTCGTTCAGCCACTGCGTGGCGTAGGCTCCGGCGAAGAAGGGCGATGTCCAGAGGTGGCCCCCAGATCCATCAGGGGCCTCGTGTCCAAGCGCCAGGTGCGTGGGCATCGATCGCCCCGCGGTTTCCCCGCTCTGGCCGCCCTGCCTTTGACCAGCGTGATCCTTCAGGCTGATCATCTCGGTGCCCGAGCGCAGGGCGTGGCAGCGCACGGCCTTCGAGATCAGGGCGAAGTAGGCGGCGCCTCCCTGGGCACCCCGCCTCCGACAGTGGCCGAGCTGTTCGTAACAACTATTTGTGGTTCTCGCCCTGCTGGGCAAAAACACGGCGAAAACCTCGAACCAGGCTGCCTCCAGTGCACTCTTGATCGCCCGCGTGTTGCCGTTCGGCTCTGGTCGGTGGTTCAAAGAGGGGGTCCTGAGGGATGGGGTCCTAAGGACGAGGTGCCTCAAACAACGTGAATCCAACCGTGGATCCCTTCCTATCATCCTTTGGTCCCCATCCCTCAGGAAATCATGAATCGCCGATCTTCGACGATTTCAAAAGGTGTGGTTTGCAAAAGGTGTGGTTTGCAACTGGCACCCTGGGGAACATCCTGGGGTCACCCTGGGGGGCGCGCGGGGACCTCGATAGAGTTCTCCCGCGCCCCGAGGAGGCCCGACGAGGACAGTGTCGTGCCCTGCCACGGCCCCAACGGTGCCGATCGCAAACCACACCCTGGCGCAACCATACCCTTTGTAGTCGCCGGGATCTGGCGTCTCGCTATTTCGGGTGCGCGCAAACATGGATTAACGATCCATGGATTTGGCGCGCGGTCGCCAAATCCATGAATCGGAGGAGGTGCCCTCCCCAAAATGCGGCCCGTGCCGCCTCGCTCGGCGGCGGCAATCCGCGATTTCCTGTGGAAACGGGACCCGTCGCTAATCCACGCCCCCTCCGTCCATGCTTGCGATCGCCTGACGGTTGTCGGCCGGCCACAAGCTCCTGGAGCCCACCGCGCCCACGACGAAGCCGCGCGAGCCGGGCCGCACGCCGCCGCACTCGCCCGCCGGAGCGGCCCCGACAGATCCCAGGGCCTCTGGGCACAGCGGGCGCCGGACGCGGCGCGGGCAGCCATCCGGTGACTCCCGGCTCCAGCAGGGGGCCACACGCGAACCCTACCCCTGCCCCCCACGATTTCTGAAGGGGAGGGTGGGGTTCGCGTGTGACCCCCCCCCCCACCTCAGAAATCGTGGGGGGTAGGGGTAGGGTTCGCGTCAAGCTAGCCAGCTCGAGCGAGTCAAGCATGGCATGCCCATTCCCACCCGCCCTCCCATAACATAAGAAACAGTGATGGCACAACTGGGGGCTGCGCGGGCATTTAAGTGCGAGTGGAGGATACCCCAGGACACCGCATTGACGTCCGCGCGGGATCGCGTGTGGTCCCCTCCTCCCCCTCGGAGGCGGCGCCGCGTCGAGCGCGCGAGGCCCCCTCCCTCCCACAGACGAAGCCAAGGCGAAGACGACATCGGGCGCCTGCACCCCCTCCCGTTCGCGGGCGCCTCGACCCCCCCCCTTCGGGCACGACAGGTGGCCTCGGCTGCGAGGCTCCTGCGGGGCCACCCTCGAGCTGGCACCCGGGCCAGGCACGGCCAGCGAGTGGGCGCCTGATGCCCAGGGAGAAGGTGGCCGTAAGGTGCCCAGACCCGCGGTGGGCGAGCGCTGCAAGAGGGAGGGGCTGTTCCGCCTCGCTCCGCTGCACGCTGGTTGGTGGAACACCCTGCCTCCGGAGTAGTCCCACACAAGGAAGCTGGCCACTCGACAGATGCGGTGCCGCGCGTAAGTTTACCGCATCCAGCGGCAGCGCTGGCACAAACGTCTGCAGCAGCCCCAGCGGCGCTGGGCGGGAAACGCGGTGCCCCCACGCCCCCGCTGTCACCCCATCCCCAGAGCGATCATCGGCGGAGCACCCGCAGCGGCCTGAGCGCCGCAGGGGCCAGCAACCACGGAGCCCGTCCAGCAACCGCGCAGGGAGGGGACTTTTTTACGATGCTCCCGCCTCGCTCCGCCGACGCCGCCCCGAGGGCCGTGCTCGGCGGCGAACCCAAGGGGGAAAGCGAGAAGCGGCGGGCCTTCTCCGAAGGCTCGGAAGCCCCCCGGCCTTCCGAGACGTATTGCTCCAAGCCTTCCCCCGAAGACACAGGACGCCCCTCAGAAGGCGCGAGGGCCTCCGAGGAGCCCCGCCGCCTGAGAAGGCCTTCTCCCTCTCCTTTCCCCTCCTCGCTCGCCGCCGACGTGCGGCGCGCCGCTCGCCGGGCGTGAGCGGCCCATCCCATCGCGCGCGGGGTCCCCTCGACGAGCAGGCGACGCCTGCGCGACTGGGCGAAGGGTGCCAGAAGCCACGAGGGCCCGAGCCGCCCGCAGCCGCGGGGCTGGAGGAGGAGGAGGAGGAGGAGGAGGAGGAGGAGGAGGAGGAGGAGGAGGAGGAGGATTCGGACGTGTGCGTCCGCCAGCGGGAGCGCAGCAGCAGGAGGAGGAGGAGGAGGAGGAGGAGGAGGAGGAAGATCGGGAGGAGGCGGAGGAAGCGGAGAAGCAGGAGCAGGAGGAGCAGGAGGAAAAGGAGGAGCAGGATGAGAGGGAGGAGGCGACCGAGGAGGAGGAGGAGGAGGAGGAGGAAGAGCACGCCTTTGCGATGATCCTTCGGTCGATCGCGAACTCTGCGTTGTGACACGTGGCGGCCCAGCTTCCAAACAGATTTGCCAAGGCGCGTATCATCACAATCACCAGACCAAAGCCAACATCCAACGAGATCCCGGCTACAACACCTATGAAGCCATGCTTCTCGTCGGGGCTATTGCAACCGAGCGTGATGCAGTCACCCCAGTCGTACCACAGCCAGACCAAGAGCTGAAGGTAGCAGAACACCGCAAAGACGTTCAGGCAAATGAACAGCATGGGGAGAGGACCGGCAAACCACGTGAGCATAAACTTCAGGAAAGGTTAAGTCCAGACGGCGTAAATCCAGACGGAATCCAAACAGTCCGTATGGACTTACTCCGTACGGACTTGGACTCTTCTCAAGAGGCGAAACCCAGACGGAGTAAGTCCATACGGAGACAGACCACTCCATATGCACTTACCCTGTGTGCACTTCGCTTCCACCGAAAACTTCCGGAGATCCGCGCGGATGTCTTGGGCCGGAACTGGACCGACCCATCCCCGAACCACCTGCTCGGCGCGCGGAGCGCGCCAGGAGGGGACCCGGAGGCACCGCCAGGGGCGTGGAAGGTTATGCAGCATGTAGCTTCGTGGTCCTCGCATAATCAGGAGGGCAACGCCCACGGCGTTCACCCAGGTCAGACGATCGTAAAGTCTGTCTGGGTCGAACCGATGGTCGTGCACGCGGGCAGCGCCTGAAGCGTCGACGGGGCCTCGGAGTCCTATCACCGTGGTGTGCGACCAAATGCGCCAGAGGAGCCAGCCGATCCACAAGAGCGTGCCATAATTCATCACCTCACCAGCGAGAGAGATGGATGCGGTCTGTAAAGACAATGCCACAGCAGCGAGAATGGCCAAAAGCCACAGCTGCTGTACATAGACCTCGCCCCAAAATATGGCATAGGCAGTTCTGTTGCCATACGTGTTTCGCACGATCTTCACAATGAGGCTGTCATCCCCAGGCATGAGGATGAACAGCTTCGCCATCACACTCAGCGCGATAGGAAATTTGACATCGGCATCGTCCTCGACCAGGTGTGAGGAAGCTGCTCTCCTGAACTCGTCGACGGCAGCCCTGTCGTGGCATGAGGGACGACAATGGGTCCAAATGCAAACACGTCCTGGACCCCCAGGATTTGTGTGAGGAAGCTGCTCTCCTGAAATCGTCGACGGCAGCCCTGTCTTGTCATGAGGGGCGACAAGGGGTCCAAAAAGAAACACGTCCTGGACCCCCAAGATTTCTCCAGGACCAACTCTCCACCGTGAAGTCGTTGTCAATTGGTCCTGGGGCGCGGGGCACGGTTTTGTCTGTTTTACCATTGATGCTCTGACCCTGGGAGGCCGGAAAAACGAGAAATCGTCGGGCTCCCTCTCCCACTGGAGTGCTTGTCTTCATGGTGGGCGGCCCAATCCAATTCAGGCTCAAAGTAGCTCCACAAATCCCGCCGAGGCATATCCAGACGAATTGTGCAGGCCGCGTCCAGTCGTGACGACGGGAACTGTCGGGGATATTGGGGAAATCTTTGAAACGACGACGTCGGCGACGACGCCAATTCTTCGTGGCGACCTGTCGTGCAACGGCCATAGCCAAGTGCAGCTGCGCACCCTTCTTTCGGAGAGGCTGCCGTCGAGCTCGGCCGCAAACCGGTCCAGCTCGGTCGCGGGTTGCTCCGCCGAGGCCCCCTGCCTGCCCGCCGGGGAGGCCACCACGAGCTCCTCTCGGGCTGGGCTGCTGAACACAACCAATTCGCCGAAACATCAATCGGTTCCGACACACGCTCGTTTGCGGCGGAGCTGGCTGAATGCCAGGTGCCCAGGGACCCCAAAGCGTTCCTGGTCCTAAGGATGGGGCAACAAAGCGCCCCAAGAAGGCTCAAGACGGGGCCTGGACGGCCCCAAGAGGACCCCGAAGGCGGCCTCAGAGTGCCTGAAGGAATCCCCATGGCCAACCAACACGAAACAAGCACATGGGTTGTGGATACATGTTGGGCCCTCCTGCCTTTTCGGCTTCAGACGACTCCTCGAGGCGGCCCGTTTGGGCGGCTTATCGGCTACACGCAAGAGTGACCCTGGGTAAGAGTGACCTTTGGTGCGCGGCTTTTGGGTGGCCGAACGGAGACCAAACCTGGGCGCGCAAGCCGCTGCTACCGCTTCGCTTTCAGCCATATGAGGGCCCATCTGTGCCCGCACCAAAGGTCACTCCGGCGAAAGGTCACTCTTACGTCTAGTCGAGCTTAGAGAAGCTCAAGAGGGCCTCCGAAGGCCCGCCGCCACGGGCCCCAAGATGGCCCAGGAGGATCGCAATACGGCCTCCAGGTCGGCCGCGCGGGCCCCAAGGCGGGTGCAAGACGGCCCAGGAGGACCTCAGGAGCGTCTCCAGACGCCCCCCCCCGGGAGGCTCCAGAAGGCGTGAAGTGGGCGTGCGGCGCCCCAAAGCCACCCTGAGACGACTGGATCAGTACGGCTACGACCAGTTGTTGTTTGCTTCCCTCTCTCTCTCTCTCGTTCTGTCGTTCTTCATGTAGTTAACTCTCTCTCGCTCTCTTTCTCCCTCTCTCTCTCTTTTGTTGCTTGTCTCTCTCTCTCTCTCTCTATGTCTCTCCCCTTTGTCCTATACATATATAGGTGTGTATGTATATATGTACGTATGCATAGATGTGTGAATATATATATATATATACATATATATATATACACATATATTTATGCATATGTATATGTATATATATATATACATATATATATGCACACAAGTGCCACTGTCTGGATGCGTGCACACACGTGTGCACTTGTATTCTTATGTACACATACGTATGTATATTATATGTATATATAGGCACATGCGACCCGTCCCTGTCTAAACCTGTGTATATAGATATGCAGGTACTGATGCTCCCTGCTCCTCCCTCCTCGCTTTCCTCACCCAGCACTCTCCTCCGTCATTCCTCCGTCCTCCTGCTTACCCCCTCCTCTTGCTCTTTCTTTGTATGTGGCTTCTCTCTCTATCTCTCTTTCTCATTCCCTCTGCGCCTCCTCCTTAACTTCCTCCTGCTCCTGCTTCTCTTCCTCCTTCTACTCGTCTCCTCTTTCCTCCTCGTTCCTCCACCATCCACCAACACCTCCTTCTCCGCCTCAAGTCTCTCGATCCATCTGTGCATCCTCCTGCTCCTCTTTCTCCTGCTGTCGTCCTCCTCCAGTCGTCGTCGTCGCCCTCCCCCTCCACCTTCTCCCCTCACTTCCTCCCTTCTCCTGCCATCTATCCTCATCCCTTGGCTCGCTTGCGCTGAGTATCCTCCTCATCCTCCTTGTCCTCCTTCTCCTCCTTAAGAGTTATCTTCCTCCTCCTCCTCCTCCTTATCCGACGTCTCCTCTCTCAGCCGCATCCTGTCGCCTAGCAGCTACAATTCTATCATCCCTCACTCCTCAAGCTTCCCCCTCTGAAATCGCGTCCTCAACCTCCTGCTGCCCCTCCACCTCATCCTCCGATTCGTCCTCGATCTCCTCCTTCCTCTGATTACTCTGACTCCTCTGATTCCTCCTCTCCTTTCCCTCCTTATCATCATCCGAAATCGCCGACGTCAGGAGGAGGGGGAGGAGGAAGAAGCGAAGAGGATGGCGAGATCTCCCAAATGTCTCTGCAGCCCTCAAGGGGGCCCTCTAAAGGCACAAAACATGAAAAACAACCACAGAACTATATCCTGATTCTTCCTCCCCCCCAAAAGGGTCTTATGAGGTCTCCCCAGAGGCCTCGATGAGGCCTCTGGAGGTCTCTGGAAGCCACACGACGCTCACAGGTATCTGCCCTCGAACCTCGGACAACATGTGTTTTGTTTTGTTGTTCTCTCTCTCTCTCTGTATTTTTTGTATGTATGTAGATCTGTATGTGTTCATCTATGCATAGATGTGTGTATACACCTGTATATACATATGAGTAAAGAGAGAGGGAGAGAAAGAGAGAGAGAGAGAGAGATGCGCCACCGTGCCTGCAGCATGTAGTAGACCTGCAGCACGCACTGGACTGTCCCAAGACTCATGCAGCCCTGAGATATTCAGAGTTACAGGGTTTCAACAAGTTTTCAGGGCCGGGGCCACCAATTTCATATGGATTTCTATGGATTCCCCGGGATTCCCCAGGATTTCTGGGGATTCCCCGGGATTCTCCTCTGGGGCCTCCCCGAGGCCGTCTTGGGGGCCTCCTGGGCCGGCTTCGGGGCCTCTTGGGCCGTCTCGGGGGGTTCGGTGAGCCCCAGAGGCCGACCCTTTTGGGCCGTCTGGGGCTCTCTCAGATCTCTCTTGGGCTGTCTTGGGGCTCCGCGGGGGCGTCTGGGGCGCTGTGAAGACGAAGCCAGCGGGTATGCTGAAAACGTATGTTTTACAAAAGAAATGGGGCGATTCTTGCCTTTTGAAGGCCCTCTCGGGGCCCTCTTCGGCCATCTTCAAGCCATCTCGGGCCCTCTGGGGCCTCGCGGAGGTTGTCTTGGGGCCCAGTAGGGAGCGCTGGGAGCGCGGAAAACATGTTCCCGGAGATGCTTCCGGGAACATGATTTCGAACGGGGCCCTCTGGGGACTCCCTGAGGCCGTCTTGGGCGCCTCCTGGGCCGTCTTCGGGGCCTCTTGGGCCGTCTCGGGGGGTTCAGTGAGCCCCAGAGGCCGACCCTTTTAGGCCGTCTGGGGCTCTCTCAGGTCTCTCTTGAGCTGTCGTGGGGCTCCGCGGGGGCGTCTGGGGTGCTGTGAAGACGAAGCCAGCGGGTATGCTGAAAACGTATGTTTTACAAAGGAAATGGGGCGATGTTTGCCTTTTGAAGGCTCTCTCGGGGCCCTCTTCGGCCATCTTCAAGCCATCTCGGGCCCTCTGGGGCCTCGCGGAGGCTGTCTTGGGAGCCTAATGGAAGCCACTTGGGGCCTCTTGTGGCATCTTCGGAGGCTTGTGGAGACTGAGGGCTGGAATTTTCGGCGAGGGGGCCACGATCCTCGTGAGGGGTGCCAAAAAATTGTCCTGGGGGGGCCCCATGGCGACCAGAGGCACCAGCCGGGCCCCCTCCCCGGCCTATTCCATATATATATATATATATATATATATATATATATATCCTAACGGGTGCACTTGCACCTGGTGGTTCTCTCGTAGGTGGTCCTGATCGTCACCATCGTTCGATGTAGGTGTGGGTTGTCCGTCACTGATGATGTTTGTTGGTTGGTGGTACGTCGTAGGTGGTTATTGTTCGTACTAGGTTGTGTTAGGTGGTAGCTGTAGTTCGTTGTAGTGCGTGGTTCGTGTTCCTCCTATCACCAGTGGTACAAATTGATCATCTCGTTTCCGAGGCGTTGTGGTTCGTTACTAGATTGTTGCGGCTGGGCAGTTGGACAAGGTCGTAGGTGGTAGTGCGTCGTACATGCTGGATGGCCTACTGGAGGGCAGGTCCGTGACTGTAGCTCCTGGTGATATACAG